AATCCACTATTTTCTATAGGGAAGTACTTACTAAATAACATCTAAAAGCTATAATACATCCACATAAATCTCCTTAATCTGTACTAAATTATGAGTGTTATCTTAAACACATATATTGATGACACTTCAAAGAAAACAATGTTTCTTGTGCTAGTTCATGCTACATATTTACATTGTTTAGTTTATGTATAAAAAAAGTAATTTTATTCTTTGTGTAAAAATCATAAGAATTTCCATTCCAAAAAATATCACATCAAAAGTAGATGATTGTTAGTAACTATCTAGTTGTTATTCAATTGAAAAAAGTCTAATTCTTAAAATGTGATAAAGTCAGTAAGATTTTTTCCTTTTATATTTTTTCCCTTACAATGTATACTTTTACCTGAAAATTCTGGCATTGTCCTTTGTCTAATGAAAATAACCTTCACCCTGAGCTCTGGATCCTATTTGGGGATGACGAGAAGAGTGAAAATTATTACTAAAGAGCATATCATATGTGTCAAAACTTCTTTGCACTATTAGATACACTTTCCTTTATGGCATTTAGCATTTATATCTAATAGACCTTATTTTATCACTGCAGGTCTTACAGGGTTCCTGTCAAAACGGTGATTTTTTTGTCTTTGCTTTTTAAAAATACCTCAAATAATGCATTACATTTTCTTTCCTCAAGATGGCTGAGTCATCTCAGGACAGAAATTAGAAATCAGAAAACGCTTCCTAAAGAAAATGGCTTATAGAAAATAGGAAAGGGTAGAGCAGTTGATTGTGGGATAGTCTGAGAAAAGACTATCTTAAAGATTCAGATTACTTTAAGGACAATAATAATGCAAAATTGGTTGGAACTAATCATAAAGACCATAGCAAAGAGGAGACTGCTAGTGGATTTGGAAAAATAATACCTAATCACTTTATTTGACCCAGAAAGAAAATAACAATCACTTGGAAAATATCATGGAAGGAACCTGGCCCTTGAAAATAACTTCGTCACGTGGACATTTTGAATGAGTCTTAAATTTGAAAAGGGTGTAAGAAGAAAATTGGAATTACTGGATATGACATAGACAACTAAAAATTATAATAAAAATGACAAGAGGTCCCTAAAGTGTTAAGAAGTTTTTGTTTTATTTCAGTGGACAAAATGAACAAGTAAAAGTGAGGAAACAAAAAAAAATGTAGATTCTAAAGTATTTCTTGGCCCAGAATATGAACAAAATAGACAAGAATTGAGAAATAAGGTATGCAAGATTAACAGAAAAAAGAAAAACAAATATTGGCCTACTTTTCTGCTTGTAGTTTTTCAAAGAACTGGTTTATTTTAATTTACTTTTTTAAAAGGTTTATGTTTTAAAAATTTTTATCATACAAGAGGACTGAATGTAACTGATAAATAAAGAATACTAGTTTCAAACACCACATAGTATTTAATTTTCTCTTAATTTTTTATAAAATTAATTTTTAAAATCTAAAGGTCTGTAAGATATCTCCAAATAGCCAGAAGTACTACCAAGACAATCAAGGATATAGCTGCCTATATATTTGCTCTTAAAGGGGCTCATATATTTTTACTAGAACTAACATTTACAGTGTCACATCATATTTTCACTTTCAGCAGAAAATTCAGAAAGCATTAGACTTTACAAATAGAGTTTAGGTGAGCAAAATCCAAGGGTCTCCATACATTTTTAGTAGTAATACATAGTTTTATATTTGCAACTCTCAAATACATTTTGAACAAAATATATCTAGTCATAATTTACAGTCCTTTTTTAAAAAAAGCTTAATAATCTTGTCAACCTAGGGTTTTCTTTCATTTCCTCTGATGAGTGACTTTCTATATTATTTCGATAAATGATATATAATCATAAACATATCTCATACTCTGTTCAATGGTTCATTTTCAGTTCAACGAAGAGAAAAAAAATATTCTAGAAAGAGGATAAAACATCTACCTTACTAAGCAGACTTATAACAATTTATGATTGTGAACAGCTGAAAACATATGCTGTATGCTTTAAATGTTAAGGATGATGAAAACAGCCACATTAATAAGGTAGATCATGCTCTGAAAAACTCCCACAATGTTGCAGTTGTTCAAAAGTCCTTTTCATTCTTTGGCACTGTCTTTAGAACACTAGACATTATACAATACTAAATGAGGTTTATCTATTCCAGAGTTACAGCCTAATTAGCAGCTGAATTTAAACATTACTCCATCTGAGCAAGGCATGAAAAGTGGTTTTTTTTTGAAAAAAAGATGTCTTTTATTAAAGTTTATTTAGGGAACAGGGTAAGGGAGAAGAATCCAATTAACACTACAAGTTATAAGCTACAAAAAAAGTTTGTTTTATCCTATTTTCTTTTTTTTTAATGTACTGTCTGATAAGATCACAAATAAAATGTATATCACTATTAAGGATATTTCAGCTGTATGCATTTTGGGACTTCAACTATCCAAATAACTGCTTCAGTTAGTATCTTATAGTCATATGTACAAAGACACTCAATTTCTATGTTGACTACTTCATTGATTTTTGTCAAATACATCTAATAGTAACATCAACAGGTTTGAAACAAGTTAAACTTAAATATAGCCACCACTGAAACCCACAGCTAAAGATGCTGGCCCAACTTCAAAGATTCTACATTTTAAAGTGGAGAAATTGAAAAACACTAATATTTTAGAACACTAAGAATGTGTGTCAAAAATATGTGCATCCTATGGTGCGGCAGGAGACCTAAACTGTTGACAGTTTAGGAAAATGCAGAATGTAATTGGGAGGGTAGGAGGTGAAGAAGATGGAGTATGCAATGCTCCCTGTGAGTGAGCGTCATGGGAATAGGAGAGAGCTGGTCTCTGAAGGTAATCTTCCACCCCAGAAACGAAATAGCATTTCTTTGAGTACTTCAGGAACAGACAAAAACCACAGTAACCTTTTTTTAAATAAATTCAAAAGAATAGTTCCATTATGGATAGAAAAGTATGTGCAGCTCCCCCCACCCCCATGCTGTAAATATCAACCTTTGCACTTGTGGTTACAATCCCATTTGGGAATGGTTGCTTTGTCATGTTAATGAGACTTTATTCATTCAGGTGGGCCTTAAATCAATCTCTTCTTAGAGTTAAAAAGAGATTAGCGGTTAAAGAAGCAGGGGAAAGAAGTAGAGACCTGGGAATAGAGAAGTAAAGCCACATGAAGATCCACCCAGGAGTTGAAGCTCCAAAAGACAAGGACCTTCCTCTAGAGCTGACAGATAAAAACGATTCCCTAGAGTAAGTACTCTGAATTTGAACTTCTAGCCTCCTAAACTGTGAGGAAATAAATTTTATTAAATCCATCCACTTGTGGTATTTGTTATTGCATCACTGGATAACTAAAACAGGTTTTAATTATCTCACTTCCTGCATATGCCTTGCTCTGTCTTCCTTGATAGAGAAACTGACAGATGTTTTCTCATACCTGGGAAAGGAGAGCAAGCTGGAACAGTGGGAATTTAAAAAAACAGTGTTTCAGTAACAAATATGAGAAAAGAAATAGAAAAGACCAGCCACTGCAGGACTTTGTCTTAGTCATCTTTATAACCCCCATGGCACCCTTAGCACAATGCACCACACACAGAGGGCAGTCGATAAAAATGAATTTGCTTCCATTCAATTCACTCACATTTGTACCATATTTGCAGTTACATAGCACTTTCCATACATTAGAACAGAGACAGGAATAAATGAGGTGGGGCAAGTAAGGAGATAAAAGAAAGGCAGAAGCAATAAAGGAATAAGGCTGACACAATTTTAGGGAGAGGCAGGGGAAAAAATTAATTTCTCCCTTCCAATCACCATCCTCCCCTCTAAAGTATCTGGGGGGCTTAGAAAATCTGACTGCTCATCAAGCCTCAAGAAAGGTGCTCCCTCCTCTGCCCAAGGGACATGCTCATCAATATAAGCTTCCAGACCCTGACTAATCTACGTGGAGTTGGTGCCTCTAAGCTCTATTAACTCCGAGTGTGGCTCCGGATCCTTCAGTCAATCCTATTCATTTCCTCTCTGCATGCCCCCCCCCACCTTCGCAAAGAGTTGGGCCCAAGGAAGGATGGTAGAATGGAAGGGCTGGTGGTGGTGGTGGTGGAGTTCCACCACAAGCCCCTCAACTCAAACAACAGAGGGAGATCTTGAGGCAGGAAAACCCAGGCAGACACTCGGGGGAAAAAGCCCATGTTTGCAACTAGGAGGGCACGTTATCTCCAACTGTGGTTCCTAGAAACCGCCAACGGATTAGGGGATAAAATGGAAGAAATTATGGGGTACGGGGATGAGCATCGAGAGCTTCCCAAAGAGCCGCGGGGTCCGAAGTGGAGGCGGCTAGGACGCGGGAATGCGCAGGAGGAGCCAGGCCACCAGCACTGTCGCCGTAGCTGTCCCGAGGGAGGCACGAGCCTCAAAGCAGCGCCTACTCCCCGAATCTTTGCAGCTGGGCCTGGGGGACAGCGGGCGAGCCCCAGATCCCGGTGGGGGCGGCCGTCTCCTGACCCCATTATTCGAGCTTAAAAGTTGCAAGGAGAGTTGATGCCTGGAGCAGGCACCAGGCAGGAGCAGCCGCGGAGGGGGCGTCAGGTTTCGCGGGAACAAAGGGGTCTCCAGAGCAGGTCTAGGGGGCTCCTCTCTAAAGCGGGAGATCAGGGTTGCCCCGTGGCCCCCGGCCCGAGAGGGCAGCGGGGAAGGTGTGCAGGATTCTGCCGTCCAGCTGCAGACCTCGAACCGGGTGGCGCCGGCACCCCCCCCCCCCCGTCCCTGCCCCTTGAAGACACCCTTACGCCCAGGGCCTCCTCCCAGCCTCACAGAGGGCATTACCTTTCATCCAGTCCACCACTTGACTCGGAGACCATTTGCTCACTGGTTCCATAATCAGAGCCATGGGGGCGGGATCGGTCCGTGCAGGGCGCGGGGATCAGATACAAAACCAACTCCGCAGCAGAGTGGAGTCTCCCTCAGGTGGGGTCCCTCACTGGCCGCTGCCTCGCTGGGCGGGTAGCGCGGAAAAGGTGGCTTTTGTGTGTCTGGGCTCACGCTGTAAAGTCTCCCAGTAAATGCTGGGGAGCCGCGGTGGAAACGGCAGTGGGGAGCGAAGCGTGCCGGGTTCGCGGCTCCGCGGCTCCGCACCAGAGAGGCTCAGTCCCCCCGAGGAAGCGGCTAAGGCTGCGGCTGCCTCGGCGGCTCCCCTCGGGTCTCCGTCTCTCAGGGACTTCAGTTCATGGCTCTCGCTGCCGAGGGTCGCTTCGCTGAGGAAAAGAGCAGCCGCTGCACACCCGCAGCCAACTTGCCCGCTCGCCTCGCGCGCGGGAGTGAAGCCCCCAGCACGACACGCCGCCCGGCGGAAATGACGAGGGGCCTCCTGCCACCCAAAATATCTCTCCGCAGCCCTCGTGTGCCGGGCGCGCGCGCCACGAGCCCCCCGCCCGCTCGTAGCCGAGCGGTCCCGCCCCCAGGACCAGCGGCAGGAGCGCGGGGCGCGTGCGCGTGCGCGGGAGCACAGCACGAGGCGTGCGGCCCGTGGCCGGCGCTTGGGGTCTAGTAGTCAGTCAGGTGCGGGTGGCGGGTAGTCCAGCGTTCCCGCCCCGAGGGCCGCTGGGGCAGCACGTCGTGCGAGGTGCGCGTGCGCGGTAGCTGCAGCGGGCCAGAGCTGGGTGGTTCAGTAAGTCAGGTGTTGCCAGCGGGAATGCAGCAAGGGGGCCCTTAGAGGGGTCGCGGTGGCGAGGCGGCAGGATTGGCCTCCCACCAGTTGAAAACTGTGCCGGGGCGACAGTGGAGGTACCTGAGGCCCACCGGCGAGGGGAGGGGGACCGCGCCGAGCGCGGGTTAACTTTGGGCCCGGGCTTTCCTCGCTCCTGCCCTCGCTGCCGCTGAGTGGGCTTGTGAGGTGATTCCCGCGTCCGCGGGCTGGCTAGCACCGAGACGTGGGACGCCGCGGCGGGTCACAAGGCACCGCCAGCCAAACAAGCAGCCATGACAAGGAGGAGGTCCTGCTGTCAGGGTCCCCAGTGATGGCCTCTGGCAGCCAGCACTTAAAGTGTCACCAGCCAGCGGAGGTTCCCTCAAGAGCTGGGCTCTTTCCACGTGCCTTCCTAAGAGACTCTGTTCCCGGTTTCTGGTCACCTCAACCAACACTGGGTGCTCCTGGCCCTGATTCAGAGGATGCCATTTGTTGTCAGATCTTATATAAGAACCCGAGGGTGACAATGGGATTGGAAATAAGCGACAGAGTGGCAACAACGTGATTCTTAAAAATTTCAGAGAGCATGCACCAGATACTTCGTGACCCTGAAAAATTGATAAAATTTGCCTTATTTTGAGGAAAAGAGGAAGTTTTTCATTCTCTTATCATTTTCATAGTGTCAGTAGGTCTTTCAGTGCCTGCAGTAACCAGTTCTCCCTAGCTCAATTTCGTGAGGTGCAGAACTTTCAACTTGCCCCTCAGCTGCCACATCCACCCCTCTCTCTCCCCCAAAATAGCTGAAACAACAGTAGTTAAAATTGTTGTTTTCACACTAGTGATACAAAACAAGTAAAAAATTAAATACTCTATCTTTAGGTTCCCTTCCAAAACACGCTGCCATGGAATCACATCGAATCGACTCTCCTGCCAACCAGCTGCTGGGTTCGAGCCTTCTACCTTGAGGTTAGCAGCCAAACCACGTTTGAACCACTAAGCTGTTGTTTATTTCATAAAATCCAAAGTCAACAGTGAATGAGATTTTGGGGAAGATATTTTCAAAGACCATCTAGACTCAAGAGGACTTTCCTAGTTTAGATCAGAATTATCATTTACAATATTTCTTGGCTGATTGAGAATGAAAGATACTGCATTTTGGATTGCTTACATTCTAATTGAGTCAAAGAAGTGTTTCTAGAAAAGATATCTGTAATTGATAGAGTAACTATACAAAAAAATAATAATTCATAGACATACTGTGATGTATTTTAAAGTTCTAGGGAAGTTTTAAAAGTAATTTTATAAAAATACTATTACCAATAAGAAAATTAACATTGAGTATTATGCTAAGTACTATACATACATTTTATGCTCAAAACCACTCTATCATTAGGCACTTTTTACAAATGAAAAAACCCCCAACTTTGGCTGTCACATTCCATTCTTATTCCCAGAGCCTATTACACATAGTTCAATAAATGCTGAAAAAATTCATGAATAAAGCTTAAAGAGGCTAATTAATTTGTCTAAGGTCATGACACATGATTTTAATACTAAGTTAAGATGATTCCAGAATATGAGCTTTAAAAACTAACAAAAATGTTTGTATCAGTATCACAAGATAAACTGAATCAATGAATAGGAGGTCTATTGAATGTTAACTAAGTATGTGTCATCAAAATATTATTAAACAACAAAAGTATTTGAGAATCACTGTGAGTGTTCCTGACCAATACATAATTAACAGCTGTAAAAATGTAGTGACTAAGTTTGCCTAAAAGATCAAACTGCACCAAGGGACTAGGCTTAAGACAAGCAACCATACTATATACCAGAGTGGAAGAAAGTTTAAAATGGGATTGTTTGCATGATGAGTGAAATATTGATCAACGCAAATGCCAAAAGAACAGGATGAAGTAAAAAAAAAAATAAATAAAAGATACGGGTTACATAGAAATACCAGTACCAAAGAAGATGGGGGGGGGATGATTCCAGATAGAAAGGATTTTGAGGAATATTCAGAATTAAGTTGTACATGTATTGTATCTAATCACCTGATATTTTTGAAGCACGAGTGGCATACACTTCCTAAACAGACTGGTTCTGGAAACTCTATGAACTTTGAGATACACTAATAGTTCTAGAAAGGCTCGACTCAGTGACAATTAATAACAACAGTCACCTGAGAGAACGATAAAAGTTTTTTCTAAGAGCCAGAAATGTAGGTGTGGAATTAAGCTGTCTGGATTGATTCAGTGACTGGGGTAATAGTTGTAGGTATGTCAGAGATATAAGATTGACACAGGATAGAGCAGGGTTCAGGATTGTACAGAGTTGCTATGAGTCACAGTCAACTCGATGGCAAATGACAACAACAACAGCTATCGATTTCATTAAGGCCTTAGTATTTGTCCTAAATCCTCACTGAGGTTTCTTCTAAAACATAATATAACCTTTGATTTTTGACAATATAGTAGACATTAATTATCTCACTTCATTTGTTCAGAACATAAGTGCCTTTTCACTTCAAGTATACTTGATTTTGGAGGGGAAAAGGAAAAAAAGGATTAAATCACCATTGCCTTCACTCTTTTATTCTGTACTCCAAATGAGTCAGCCAAATCTTTTCCTGTGTTTTCCTTTCTTAAAACTTTTCAGATAAACTGGCTTTTATATCCTTTTGCTATTAATCAAAATGTAAATGACTTGCTCTGATTTTGTAAGTATGGTTTGACTATATCTAAACTTAAGTTTACTTTGGTCTTCATTCAGAACTCAAGGGACTGGAGAGACAGTTTTAAGGATTAGGAGTAATTGCCTGTTGTTATAAAATACACATTAAAACATAATGCACTAAATGACATGATGTCACACATACTTCAACCAGCTGGATGTAAAAGCTGAAATGTGATTCTTTGGAAACAACCTGAGAATCTTTTTTGAAAATAGGCAGAGTAGAATAAATAAACTAAATGGAGATAGAACAGTAGTTCAGATCAGTTGTTCATAGGGTTACAAAGAATTGTATTCAACTTGGTGGTACCTAACTACAACAACAATAATTGGGAAAATAAAACTTGTGAGATGCTTGTACCCATATCACTTTAAAAATATCTGTTCATCCAATTTATGGCAATAGTTACAGTTTTATTATTGTTACTATTCTCTACTCCAAGAAAAATTTAAATCTTGAAAAAATTCTCAGTGAAGATTTTATATATAGTCTTTCTAATGAGCTTACAAGCATGTTGATTGTGGAGATAAGTAAGATGGGAAATTGTTGACAATTTCAGTCTACTCTCCATCTAATGCTATGTTGCCTATTGACCCAGTACTGAAGATTTTGGGGATGATCAAAACCCTGGACACCAGTAGTCAAAAAATGAAAAGGTGCATTTCATTGTGAAAGTTTACTGTCAGGCACCTCTCCAAAGTGCTGGAGAGCAATGATGTCAGTTAAAAACTAATGTGTGCCTAATACATGCACACTTTTTCAATCACTTGCTATGAGTCTGATAACTGGACAATAATTATGACCGAAGAAAAATTGATACCTTTAAGTTGTGGTGTTGGAGGAGAGTACAGAATATGCCATAGACAGCCAAAAGAACAAATAGATATGTCTTGGAGAAGGTACATCTAGAGTGCTCCATAGAGGCAAGGATGGTGAAGCTTCATCTCACATACTTTGGGTATGTTACTAGAACGGGCTATTCCTTGGAAAGGGACATTATGCTAGCAAAGGTGAAAGGTCAGCAAAAGATAGGAGGAACCTCAGCCAGATGGACTGACAAGAAGGACTGCAGCAATGAGCTAAAATATGTCAGAAATGATGAGGATGGCACAGGATAGAGCAGGGTTCAGATCTATTCATATGGTAAATAGAGTTGCATTTGACTTGACTGTATATAACAGGAACAACCACAGTTAGCCTCAGATGTTTTTGCTATGTGCCATTGAGTTGCCTGCGACTCATGGCAACCCTCTGAATCCTGCTCTATTCTGTACCAGTCTCACTGACTCTGAAACACCTAACCCCATTACCCTAATTACTGTATCAATCCATCTCATCTGGGGTCTTCCTCTCCTTTGTTCCTTTACCTTTCCAAGCATGATGTCCTTCTCCAAAGACTTGTTTCCTCCTGACCATGTGCTCAAAATATGTGAGATGGAGCTTAAAAATCCTAGTCTCCAAGGAGAAACAGACCTTTTTGTTCTCTTGACAGTCTATAGTATGTTCAGTGCTCTTCTACAACACAAAGGCATCCATTCTTCTGTCATCCATAATCATTGTCCAGCTCTCTGATGCATACCAAGTAATTGTGAAGACTATAGCCTGGATCAGGAACACTTTAGGCTGACATCACTACTTTTTTAACACTTTGGAGAGGTCCCTGACAGCCAACTTACCCAATGAAATTTGTCTTTTGATTTTCTGACTGCTGGTGACAAGAGTGTTGACTGTGGAATCAAGCAAGCTGAAATTGTTAACAATCTCAATCTCTTCTCCATCTATCATGGTTCTGCCAATTGGCCCAGTGGTGAGTATCTTTGTCGTCTTGATGTTGAGCTTCAAACCATATTGAAGTCTAAAGTCCTTGACCTTCTGCAGCAAGCACTTCAGGTCCTCCTCTGTTTTAGTAAGCACCATTGTGTCATCTGCATTATGCAGGTTATTGATGAGTCTTCCTCCAATCCTGATGGTACATTCCTCCTCATAAAGCTAAGCCTTCCAAATTATCTGTTTTGCATATAGATTGAGAAGGTATGGCAATAGGATGCATCCCTGGCATACGCCTTTCCTGATTTTGAACCATGCAGTGTTCCCTTGCTCTGTTCAGAGAACTGCTTCATGGTCCAAGTATAGGTTTCTCATGAGCTCAGGAAAGGAATTTATAATATGGTTTTGTAGTATCTGGGTGATAAATGAAATATTTTAATTAGAGAGATTGAAAAGTTTGTTCTCCACATTTGTCAGCATAGGGTGTGGTATGGGATCCTTAATATAAAAAATTCAGTGCTGGACTGCTAACCAAAGGGTGACCTATTCAGACCCACTCAGAAGCACCTTGGAAGTAAGCCCTGGTAATCCGCTTGGAAGGTCAAAGCTTTGAAAGCCTTTTGGAGCAGCTCTACTCTGAGCAAATGGAGTCACCATGAGTCCAAACGACTTGAAGGCAATTAACAATAACCTTTACTTACTGTTTCTTTTGCTAGGAAGTTTGCTGTGCATAAGGCCCCAGACTTGCCATGCAAGGCATTTTAATATTTTTAGTTATTTAACATTTAGACAAAATGTCTCACAGAGTCCTGTCTGGTGATTTTCCCAGTTTGCTTAGACTTTATATTTTTTAATAGCTGTCTTTTTAATTTTACACATTACATTTCTTTTCGAAGGGGTAACTTATCATAAATTATTTTTTCTTTTATTTTAAAATAGGTAGTGGGAAATAACAACTTAGAGAAAATA